TTTCAATTAGGATTTGTATTAATCTATTGCTTTGCCTCTGTGCCATTAAGTTAATTTCAGCTAGGATACGCTAGTTGCAGTGCATTCGGGCGGGGTCCCCCCCCCACAATTTTTCCTCCGGTTATTTCGTCCTATTACACTCGTTTTCCCCCATTACATATTCTAAATATTGCGCATTATATTTGACCACCCATTCTTCATCGTATCGACGTACATTAAGATACATTTGGAATGCTACCGAGTTTAGCATGGCCTCGCGCACGGTGTCATGCAAAAACTGGCCATTCGGCCTTCCTTTCGGCAAGCTCAAGCCAGTCAGTTAGCATGATGACGGCCAGCATGTTGTTGGCCAGCAGCAGACAGCATGTTGTTGGCCAGCAGCAGCCAGCATGCTGTTGGCCATACGGTCGCTAACGTTCTTTGGCCATCCGGCCTTCTGGGCTATTTACTCTTCTTGTTCCTTCGCCATTGTTGTTTCCTACTACGTAATAGTATTCTATTTAATTTTACCTCATCTATCATTAGGTTAGGGGCCTTACCTCCAACCGCTATTCCTTCCCCTGCGCTCTGCTCGCTTGGCGCACAACGCCGGTTTCTTCTGTCCCCTTTTTCGCAGCCACGACAAGCCGGAACCCCCCCCCCCCCACCTCTTCACCCTACTGCGGCGAGGAAGAGAACGCGAGCCGGATACTCCTTTGATCACCATTACAACGCACGCAGCGGTGCCGGGATGCAGCCGCCCAGGGCTTACGTTAATACTATTATCTTCCCTTTATTTGCTGAACTATATGGTAGTATTATTATTCCGTATCGTTACTGTTATTCCAGTATTATTTTATTAAAAATATAAATTGTTATTATGGTTTGGCGTTGCTTTCTTAATTTCTTCCATTCTGCGGCACTTGCCGTCATCGGTTATTTGCGATATTACATTATATTCTTCATTGTACGATTATTTACGACATTGTATTCTTATTATTATCCTTATTACAGTTACTGAATGGCAGTTCCCTGCCGTCGATTTCACTTTGCTCCTGATCTAAAAGATGTAGCCGAAGTTCACGGCGTTTTAGCTGCGGCTCGCAGACGCTCATTGACAACACAAGACTACACTCAGCGGCCACTTAAGGCAGACTCCTTGGCTTCTATCCAGCCCAATCACCCGTCTGGAGGCAGAGATGGGATAGAGACCAAGGGTAATGTTCCCCGCTCACATTCTGCATCCGCTTAGGACACAAGCATGTTATAGATTTGGCTTTAAGAATTGGTTCTTATTCCATTTTATTGTTTATGTATATGTTGCTTAGTTGTATATAACCGTTCTTGGTATATGTATTGTTTATATTCAAGATTTATAGTGTTTCGTATTACCCCTGTTATAGTTGCTTTGTGCTTCCTTGCTGTTCTACTGGCTTTTCCCCCACCTTTGCTCTTAGCAAAGGTACTTCCCCCTTCCGTTTGCTGGAAGATTCTTAGAATTGTTAGCCCCCTTCATTGCTACAGTATAATTATTCGGAAACTCTTTATTCATCCAGGTTTGTTAATTAAGGATTCTCTTAATTCCTGCTGCCGGGCTCCCTCCCCCCGTTTTTCGTCTCCGTATTGATTCAGCTAGGGTTTCCCTCTCGTCTGTGCTCTTGCCTGTCACGATAACACTGCATGCCGCTTCTGCCCACCCTTACTGCCTTATATCTTTCAGCCCGGGGGAGGTGAGCTACGCGACAAAAAATCGACGCACGCTCCGACTGGACCAGGTATCGCTTACATGGTCAGGAATCAACACTCTTCGGATCCTACAAGCACAGATCCTACAAGCGCTCCTGTCACCAGGCGAGATTTCTCCAGGATCCTACGCGCTGCCCTCTCGGCGCTAGGCTTGCCTCCAGATGACTACGCCCTGCACCCAGCTGTCTCGGGACGGGCTCGCCACATCAGAAATAATGGCAGACGGCAGGCGGAAGAGTAGTGCTCTCACATCCTACGTCAGACGGGACGTTGTTGCTCTGCCACTTTGAGTGCCTCACGCGGCCAGCTGGCACTCGCCCTTCGGGGGGGGGGGGGGGTCCGGCCGTTGGCCTGCGGTGGGGGTGCAGCGCCGGTCCCCAAGTGTCCCGCTGTCCGCAGCTAATACTTTGCCCAGTCTAGGTGCTAGTAAGCCCTACTTGTAGTCACCCCCCTTCTCCTTATTCATTAGGTCTTTTACGGCCTCTTGGCCGGGTACATTACGTGTTATGTGGTCTCTCACTTATTAGTTATTCTTTGTGTCCTGCCTGTTATATCCTAGTGTTATATAATTACTACACATTTGCACTCGGCCTTAATTCTAGTACCAGTTAACCTTTAGGTTTCTGCAGAATTAGTTTCCATGTCACTATAGGCTAAGGTCTCATACTTACTACGGGTGTACCTTTTAAGTTAAATCTAGTCCTCGGACTTGGAATTGTTACTGTTAATTCTTACTTTATATATTTACTTTATATATTTGAATATAAACTTTATATATTTACTTACTTTATATATTTGAAACTTTATATATTTACATGTTCAATATTAAGTTAATATAATATAAACTTTGTTTATATGTCTATAATATAAACCGTGTTTAATATAAACTTTATATATTTACTTACTTTATATATTGAAACTTTATATATTTACATGTTCAATATTAAGTTAATATAATATAAACTTTGTTTATGTCTATAATATAAACCGTGTTTAATATAAACTTTATATATTTACTTACTATATATATTTGAAACTTTATATATTTACATGTTCTGCAGAATTTAATCTTCAATAAATTTAAAGCCCCATACTGCCAGTATCTTTCTCCCCCTGATCAGAAAGAAAGAAATTGAATTGGTCTGATTAAGACTTTATGACCATGTAATCTATGTTTTGCTCCACTACTTACTGGTTGAGTATGGGGTGCATAACAAATAAGAGCCTCCTTCGTGTGCGCCTTGTTTCTAAACGTGTTAGTCTTAAATCCTTTAATCTCAAATCTTGCTACAATGTACCTCTTAATATATCAATGTACCTCTTAATATATACCTCTTAATATATCACAGCAGTCTCCGTGGTGTAGTGGTAAGACACTCGCCTGGCGTTCCGCGAGCGCTATGTCATGGGTTCGTATCCTCGCCGGGGAGGATTTACTGGGCGCAATTCCTTAACTGTAGCCTCTGTTTAACGCAACAGTAAAATGTGTACTTAGATGAAAAAACGATTCTTCGCGGCAGGGGATCGTATTCCAGGGACCATAGGATTAAGGACTTGCCCGAAACGCTACGCGTACTAGTGGCTGTACAAGAATGTAACAACTCTTGTATATATCTCAAAAAAAAAAAAAAAAAAATATGTTATGTACTCTCGCAACCCAATGTACCTTCTTGTATATAAATAAATAGATTTCAACTGTAAGGGGGTATGGTTTGCACCTTGTTATTTTAATAATGGATAAATAATTCTAATAATAGAAGCGCTAATTATATGAACAAGTGCCATGTATTTATTCAGATGAGAACAACAGTGAACACAAACCAGCGCATATACGAACGGAATGGTTTGTATGTACAAACTTCTCAGTGAACGAAGTTGTTTCTAGCCCGGTATCCGAAATTGCAGTATACGACTTGACCAGTCCCCGGTGGGGATCCCTTCCCTATTACAAATTTGTTTATGAATGTATTTGCTTATTATCTTGCCTACTTTTTGTGGATCTGCTTATATTCTATTTATTACAACTTGTTTATTACCAATCATATATACTGATTGATGATTTATTTGATTGAAAAAAATAAATAAAAAGAATGCAAAGTAGTGCATTCACCATGAGAGCAATGTTTCCTTCAGAAAGTATATAAACGAGTACCATTGTATTTTAATAAATGAATTGGAAGCATATTCTTTAAATAAAAATAAACAGGAAAACATAAGAGTTAAATGTAGAAAACCAGTTACAAACAATAGTAAGAAGTAGAAAAATAAAATATGGCATCAGAAAGAACACTGGAACGCCTAAGTGAGCGTCGCCGCCATTATCACAACACGGGACGGTGAGTGTCCAGACATGAGCATAAAACCTTCCCACGTACGATCGTCGTCGCCCCTAAACACAACAACCTTCCCACAAACTGCACCTATCATAAAGAAGAAGCCCACCATTGACCTTCAAGTGCTCACATCAAGTCTAACTCTACAACAGCCTAAGAAACAACACTCAAGCCTTGCCTAAGCCTCAACATTGACGCCCCACCGTGAGGCGTCACGCAGCATCACCACTCATGCAGTCATCCGAGGAGAAAACCTTCCCACAAACTGCACCTATCATAAAGAAGATGAAGACTCACCAGTGTCCAGAGTGTGGGAAGAGGTTCAGTCAGCTTGGACATATGAAGACTCACATGTTAGTGCATTCGGGTGAAAAACCTCATAAGTGTCCAGAGTGTGGGAAGAGGTTCAGTCTGCTTGGAAGTATGAAGACTCACATGTTAGTGCATTCTGGTGAAAAACCTCATAAGTGTCCAGAGTGTGGGAAGAGGTTCAGTCGTCTTGGACATATGAAGACTCACATGTTAGTGCATTCGGGTGAAAAACCTCATAAGTGTCCAGAGTGTGGGATGAAGTTCAGTCTGCTTGGAAGTATGAAGCGTCACATGTTAGTGCATTCTGGTGAAAAACCTCATAAGTGTCCAGAGTGTGGGAAGAGGTTCAGTCTGCTTGGAAGTATGAAGACTCACATGTTAGTGCATTCTGGTGAAAAACCTCATAAGTGTCCAGAGTGTGGGAAGAGGTTCAGTCAGCTTGGAAGTATGAAGACTCACATGTTAGTGCATTCGGGTGAAAAACCTCATAAGTGTCCAGAGTGTGGGAAGAGGTTCAGTCATCTTGTAAGTATGAAGACTCACATGTTAGTGCATTCGGGTGAAAAACCTCATAAGTGTCCAGAGTGTGGGAAGAGGTTCCGTCAGGTTGGATATATGAAGACTCACATGATGATGCACAATGATGAAAGACCTTTTGAGTGTGATGATTGTGGCAGAAGGTTTAGAGATCGTAGATCTATAATACGTCACATGTTGGTACATACAGAAGAAAGGCCTTTTGAGTGTGATGAGTGTGGCAGAAGGTTTAGAGATCGTGGATCTATAATACATCACATGTTGGTACATACAGAAGAAAGGCCTTTTGAGTGTGATAAATGTGGCAGATTATTTAAGTCATGTAAAGGTATAAAAGCACACATGTTAGTGCATTTGAATGATAAACCTTCATGAATGTCGAGAGTTTTAAGAGATTCGGTCATCTTTGTAGTATGAAAACTCACAAGACGGTGCATTTGGGTGATAGGTTAAACATTTTGAGTGTGAGATAAATCAGAAAATATTTTAAGTATAATGTATATTAAAGCACATATTAGTTCATTAACTTATAATACCATTTTTCCAATTTTAAAATTGTTAGAAATTGTAAACTTTATCAGTAAAATATCTTGCACTCTCCATAGCTGCAACCATTATTTTATTATATATTTTTATACTGTTTTAGATTACCCAATTCCATATCCTGTATTCAAAAACATGGTGTTGCTACTTTACGTGAACTTGTTTCTCACTCTCCAACCCCTGCCCTGTTTTCCTTTCTGTTGTCATGATCGTGTTTGTACAACTGGTACCAATTTTCTTCGTTGATATCTGTGTACCTCATAGCTTCCATTCCATTTTCTTCTTTGCCACAGAAGAAACGTGGCAATGTTCCACAGCCACAGTGCTGGCATTGGCAGTGCCATCACTGCCACCACATTTGAAGGCTTGAAAGCAAGCCAAAAGCACTCTAGTTGATTGTTAACTTTTAACTGTGGTTTTATATATATACTATTGTACTGTACTATTTTTATGAAATACTGGTATTAAAATAATTTTTGTTATTTTGCTTAATGACAGAGATATATAAATTATTAACAAATATATATTAGGCTGGAATTTATTTCAGCTAAACCTCTTCATTTATATTTGTATCAGATTTTTTAGTAGTCTGGCCTATCTACAGTAGTTATAGTGATCTAACCCTTGTATTATTGTGTGCATTAAGATAGATTCTGATAAAAGACTAACCTTAGTTGAGTACTCATATTAGCCTAACTGGCATTTATAATTTTCTGAGTTGGAAATATATATTACTCGAGCCCAACGATGTATTGTAATATATATTACTCAGCTGTTAAATAATATTTGCCAGGCTGAGATATTTATGTTTAGCAGTTATATTATCCTGACTGGCAATTATATTATCCTGACTGGCAATTATATTATCCTGACTGGCAATTATATTATCTTGCCTGGCAATTGTATTAATCAGACTTGCAATTACTAGGTATATTATATGTATCCAGACTAATAATTACATTAACTTGTCTATCAATTATACTATCCTGACTGTGAATTATGTGAACATGACTCCGGCAATTATATTAGCCTGAATCCGACAATTATAATAGCCTGACTGACAATTATATTATCTTAACCTTCAATAATATTATACTGATTTGCAATTATATTACATATATGCTGACTGATAATTGCATTAACTTGACTGGCAATTATATTAGCCTGACACTGGCAGTTACATTAGCCTGCTGGTAAATATATTATCCTGAATGACAATAATATTATCCTGACACAATTATATTAGAATACTGGCAATTATATTATGTTATCTGACAATAATACTATTAGCCTGACTGCCACTTGTATTAACCCATTTTATAAAGTGGCATTTTTCATTTATAGTATATTACCTTGACTATAATTTATAATATTTTTTGGAGTATGTCATTGAATATAGTTAGCCTAGGCTTAATTACTGCTAGTATTTACATCAGTTGTCTATATTTTCATTATTCTCAATATCTTTGATTAATAAGTATTTCTAACTATAAATTAGTGTAATAATTTTTAATTTGTAGATATAAGCCTAAATTTAATCATTGCATAATTGGTATGTATGATTATTATAGGCCTGTTTTACCAGGTATAGGAGTAGCCTTTATGGCAGGGGTGGCCAAACTTGCTTACTGTAAGAGCTGCAAATGATAAACCTCATATGTTTGAGAGCTGCAGGAGAACCATTTGAGAGCCACAGCTTCCTTACTGAATAATGTCAACAGTGTCTGCTGGCAATTTATTGATGATTTTCACTCATTTAATTTATTTTTCCTTAAGTCTGATTTAGGTGGATAATCATATGAAAAGTTTTTGTGATTAGGTTCATTCTGGCATTTCAAGTTCCTGGCTTTGTAATGACTGAATGGCACTTGGCAAACAAGACACAAATGTTTACCTCCTTTAACTGTGAATGCAAACTTTGTTCTACAAGTATCGGAACTTTTTATATAGTCATGCATTTCTTGCCCTGGATTCGGGTAGAAACTTATAGAATATTCACATTCTCAAGAATTTTTTACTAGCCGCATATTAAAGGTCAAAGAGCTGCAGTTTTTGCCACCCTGTGGCCAAACCACAGCTTGTAATTTGTCATCTATGCAAACCAAAAAATATAGTTTATTGTTTTGATTGGCAGTTTAGGTTCGTGTTGTGTTGATGGATGTGAATGATGTGAAGTTATTATTTGCTTAGGAGCAATCATTGGCCCATATTATTTATAGATAGAATATGGTGTAATACTTGGCTCTTACCTATTACCTTTTAATTATATTATAAAGAACTGGACGATTGTTTTAACATAAAAGGTCACTGTCCACTCTCAGTAACTAGAAGTGTTACAGAACTTACTTGACAATTATCTCAATATACAAAGTAACTGTTCACTCACAGTAACTATATGTTATAGAACTTGCAGGAAACACTGTGCGTGTTAGTGACCTTACAAGAATGTAAAAATACCAATCTTATGTAATCTCACCAACCCATTGTACTTGTTTGTGAATAAATTATTATTAATAATATTATTAACATGACAATTATCCTAACATACAAGGTCACTGTCCACGTACAGTAACAATATGTTATAGAACTTAGCTAACTCCTATTAATGACTTACATTATTGGTAACAATGGGATAATTAAGTTGAGGTACTAATAGGGTCAGTTTGTTCAGATAGATCACATTGGGAGAGGAATTTATTGAGGTTATCCTCGTGTGATAATACAGTGTGGCTTCAGACCCATAAAAGCACCAACACTGCTCTTATAAATATGCTTAAATTATTACATGCAGTACTTAACAAAAATGAGCTCCCCATAGGTTTGTTTGTTGACTTATGCAAGGGTTTTGACACTGTTAACCACAATAACCTTCTTCTGAAACTCCAACACTATGGAGTTAGAGGTCACTCCCTTTAGTACTTGCAATCTTATCTCTGTCAGCAGTATATTTCAGTGAACGCTGCTACTTCTCCCACTTTCTCAATTAACATTGGCATTCTGCAAGGGTAGCATACTTGGTCAACTCGTTTTTCTCATATATATCTTCCAAATACCTTCATATTTTCTCTTCATCACATGAAGAAGAAACATCTTCAAGTTTTCTCACATGCTAACCCACTTATTCTAAATGACATGGTGCATACTGAACTAAATGAAGTCCATTAAATTGACTGTTAACAAACTTTCCATTAACATCGACAAGGCGTTTTACATTTTTGTTTGGTAAGAAGTTCAACAATCAAGTTAATCTTAAGACTATGATGACCAAACCACACACCAGAAGATGAGACGACAACATCCCGGTTCGTCCTGGACCATTATCACAATTGATTTGATAATGGTCCAGGACGGACCGAAATGTCGTCGTCTCCTCATCTTCTGGTGTGTGGTTTGGTCATCATATCTCGACCATATCTGTTGTGATTCATTGTCTAAGACTTAACAATACCAAATTATGAGCAGAGTTGATGGGAAGTTCCTTGGTGTTCACTTTGACAACAAACAAAATTTCCATTGCCATATATAAAATATAACTAAAATGTTCAGTTATGTACAGTTTCTGTGGTGTAGCGGTTAAGATGCTTTGCCTGGCGTTCCGCAATCACTTTGTCCTGGGTAATAATAAAAATAATAATAATTTATTTGCAAGAAGGTACAATGGGTTGGTGTCATTACATAACATTGGTATTTTTACATTCATGCAAAGCCACTAGCTTGCATACCATTTCAGGCAGGTCCTTAAAAATGAAAGGGTACATTTTAGCAGTGTACCCTTTCAGATGTACAGTTTAAGTTTGAAGCACAAGGTAGGAAACTGTGAGGATGAAATTAGGTCCTTTTTTTTCCTTTACTTTTGAACAGGGCATGGATTGGGCAATTTTTTAATTCATCAGGGAGTGAGTTCCAAAGACTGGGCCATTTTATTTGCATGGAATGTTTGCACAAGTTTAGTCTGACTCTGGGGATATCAAAGAGATGTTTGTTTCTGGTGTGGCTTTGGGTTCTATTACATATATCAAGGAAAAGTTTCAGATCGAGATTAGCGTTTAGGAAACCAGGTTTTACACCTGGTTTCCAGGAAACCAGGGTTTTTTATAAACCAGGTTTTATACATGTAGATAGCACATGAGAATGTGTGGACTGAGTGTATGTTTAGCATGTTAAGGGACTTAAATAGAGGGGCTGTGTGTTGTCTGAAGACTAGGGTTCGTTACTGTTCTGATAGCAGATTTTTGCCGAGTGATGATGGGCTTGAGGAATATAATTTCTGATAATAGAAAGTATACCGACCATTTTTTAGACTTTTTTAGCTGTGTGTTGTATAAGGGTGCTAAAGTTCAGTCCCATGACTATGTATAGGCCAAAGAACTTCCCATCATTTTTATGGGTAATGTTAACATTATCTGTCCTTTTGCCAGTCAGCCCAAAAGACATTATATCCATAATTCAATCACTTAACACAAAAGCTGGGAACATTTTTGAAATACAATCTATGATATATATAAAAGTGCTGCCTGAAGTTGAATCTGATTTGATAGTTTACTACAAAATAAGGTTTGGTGCCTTCTTTTGATAATTACTTACTTTCTACCAAATAACTTGTGGATGGTCTTTTCTATGTTTAATGTAAGTTTATTGGTTGACATCCATGAGTGGACTTTTTTAATTCACTGTTGACAATATTATTTAGTGTGTGGGGGTAGGGTAAGAATAGACAATGGTAGTATCGTCTGCAAATAGTATAGGTTTAAGAATGCTAGAAACATTTGGCACATCATTGATGTA